CCAACCTAATAACAGAAATCTAATATGGCTGCTACATTCTCATAAAATAAATTGATGGCTTAATGACAAAGCTATGGTAAGCCTAACAAATATTAGAGACATTAAGTCAGTATTAGGTTTTTATATTGCGTATGCGGCTTTCGCATGTATGATAATAACGCGTGTTTTGATTGTATAATACAAAAACAAAAAATTAAAGAAAAAAAAAGGAGAATGGAAATAAAAAATGAAAATAAAAGATAAAAAAAATAAAAAAAAAGGAAGAAAGTTTTGAAACCATAAAGTTAAATTTTATGTAATATATGGAAATGCTTTTTAATTTATGATACGTGAGTGAATTGGGAATTTTCTTGGTCTCACAATAAACTCATATAATATATAAAATTTATATGAAAGAAAAAAAAATACACGGTAAGAGATGGCAAAAAAATCCTAAATTTCATGACATTTCTTTCTCTTATTTAACGCTTTTTTTATTCTTTTCATTCTTTTTTTTTACCTAAAAAATTAATTCTATACTTAGACTTTTGATTTCTTTACTTATACCGTATAATATATAGGTACTTGTTGTTTTAGCAGACAAGTTATTTGTCCGTAGAGGTTTTCATAAACAAAAAACATTCTCATATTTGGTAATAAATTAAATTATCGCAAAATGTAAAACAAATTTTGTTTTTGATTTATTTAACAGTTTTCTAATTTAACATTTTTCCATTTTAAATATTTGAGAATATTACACAATGAAAATTAAACGCTTAATTTTTTGTGGTTATAATGAGTTGCACACAGTACGGAAAATATTTTGAAATTATACCTATGTCAATTTCCTTATACCTATGTCAATTTCCTTCCAAAATGCAACAAAAAGAAAAGTATTAGACCGATTTTTTTAAAAATATAAGTAATTAGGTAAAATTTCAGCTTCCAATTTTAGAGGGTATAGAATCAATTTTTCCAAAAAGACGGACGCCAGATTGAGTTCATACACAATAATCTACAATTTTACTTTGTAAATTGCTTACACATTTATGAAATTTTCGTGTAAAATATAATTAACATGTTTACTATAAGCAATAATCATCCTAATTATACAATAAGTTAAAATAAACAAAGATTTTTTTTAATAATACATACATATGTGTTTTGTACGTAACAATAACTTGGTGAAATCTCATAACTATATATGCATATTTCAGTAAATGTAATTAATTTATTTTACAACAAATTTTTACGTCTAATTTTATGACTACATTAATGTATAAGTTTCTCTTAAATATAACATTAATTTGACAAATGTGCTGCAAATTAAAAATATATGTATACATGCATGTATGTATGAAGCATTATTTATTTTACATAATTTTTTTGTTAATTCTCAAGTTTAATCTATTGTGATAAGGATAATAAAAAATTTTAATATAAAAATAATAAAAATAACAATATTTTTTTTATTTTTCATTTCATTCGAGAATATGCAAAACAAAAATTAAGAAGCAAAATATTATTTTTACTAATCCTCGCGTATTGAACCACACATTATGGTTACATAAAACTTTTCATTTGAGAATTTGTGTGTTTTAAATTTGAGAAAATTAAAACCAATTTTAGAAGGATATTCGAAATTAACCGCTGCGTTTATAACGTCCGAAACAAAGACATGTATAAGTTTTCGATCAGAATCGAATTCTGAGTCGATTTAACTAAATAGCTATGTATATGGCAACTCTAAAAGTAATTAAGTCATATGATACATCAACTAGTTCAAAAACGAGGCTAAAAATTACAAATTAAGTATTCAGATTTGGTGTAAAAAAATTTGATGTTAAATAAGGCAAATACATATTTCCGAAAACAGTTTTTCCGGGCAACTTTAGAGATAATTTGTGCATATATTGAAAAATATAAGGACTACAATAAATTTTACGAGAAATGTCTTTTACGGAAAAGCTTCAAAAATAATTTACTAAAATTATACCTGTACCGTATTTTATATTTCAGCACAATATTTCTACTAAAATATCAACACTAATCTCTATATGAGAACCCTCGTTAACTAGCATATCATTGAAAAATGCTTGCATGGGCATCACAGACACATTCCACTCTAACTTTTCTCGATTTTATTTGGTTTTGTTGAATATTTTAAATAAATGCATATTTCTCAAAATATATTAGTATTTAAAATAAATCAGTTAACTTAAATATGAAAAAATGTAAAAAATTTTTAAATTTCAAAAGTCATTACAACTAATAGAGCAAAAAAATTGCTGTTAAACATTATTTAATTACATATAATTAAAATTTCTACAATTATTATCAATGTATTTCACTAGATCACCTTAATATTGTATTACATTGTTAACTACTATATCAAAATTCTTCTAAAGCTATAAATCATAGCATTTTGAAACTTTTTTTTATAACTACAACTATGTATGGAGTAAATTTTATGCTTATTAAACTGATTATTTTTATTATGCTTATTAAACTGATATTATTTTGAAGTTAGCTTTAAAATATACGTACTCATAAGGCAATTAAATTGCGGGTCGTATGAAGCAAAGATGATGGAACCACTATGGTCCTGAATTTATGCAAGATGCCAAAAACTTAGTTGATAGGATAAATATTTCGATGCCAGTAAAGAGAATTGAATTTTTAAAACTTTAAGTTTATTATGAATACAAAAATTCATTGGAATGTTTCGAAGTTTCCAGAAACAAAAATTACTTTTTAAAAAAATTAAAATTTAACAAGAGAATAAAAATTTCGTCTTCAACTTTTAAAATTATTTGGTATGACAGTGGTTTAAACTGCACGATATGAAACGAATGTTATATTCAAAATGCTATATGGATACATAAAACTTACGTTTACTTTTTATATAACATATAGTAATAACCATTAGTATGTATGCTTGTAACGTATACATAAATCGCAGAATAAAATCTTTTTAAGTATCTCTTCACTTTTGCAAATATTTGAGAAGCTTAAAATGAGATTTTCACGTGAAACAATTGACAATTTACGGGTACAATCCATCACATTTTGCTATTTTTTTTTATACACACTAATTTAGAAATTTTCAAACAATCTTACAAAATATGAGAAATTCACAAATTTGTTTTTTGATATGAAGGATGAACTTTCGTAAATGATAATACAATAAATAATCTCGCAGTCAAGATGAACAAAAAAAAACTATAATGTGCATAAGCCATAACTTTATTCTCGTTCATTGGTTTGACAAAACTGTTCTGCAGCATTGTGAAAACGCTTTATGAATAACTTTTTTAAACTTCTTTAAAATTGAGAAACCCATCTCAAAAAATTATATTAGACTCCTATATGTTCAGACTCCTACAACTCCGTTAGTTAATTTCGACAAGAAAGCCTTTTTATTAAAAGCCTTCAAATGTAAGATAGCATGGAAATTAGATCCTAATTTTTCACATAGTAGAGGTTAAATTTGCGGAACCTTTAATTTTTCAGCAAGCTTTTTAATTAGTATTCCTTTGAGAATCATTGCCCATACGAAAAAATGAAAAAACGTTGGTTTTCCTCATACGTATAAATATTGTCAAAAAAATTATAATAACATAACAAGAACTATCAGACAGTCATCTAATTGTATTTTTACTGCATTTCCATTGAAAGTGGACCTGCGAATACCTGCATGTACATAGTTATTGAAAAAAGGCGCAATAACAAAATTAAGCGAATTTTTTTGAAATCTTAAAATTTAAAACTTTCCTGTTTTTTTCTGCTGAATATGCTATATGTATGTATATGTATGTTACGCCCTGTTTGTACGTTATATAATAATAAGTATATAAAATCTTTATACGTACTATGTACTTAAATTTTTGAATACATTTAACTTTGTTTATTTTATAGTTATCTATAATATTTAAATTTCATTCTATCTTGAATTGTTGATTTTTTTAATTCCCAAAAACTTCCTCTATTGTTCAAAATATTTAAGTGAACTACCTGTATTTTCATAATGAATAAAATCTTTAAACTCTTTCATAAAATCTCAAATACATATATATGTATAGGTAAAATGTTCATAGTTTCATAGTTCGTCGTTAAAATTTTTAAAAATAAAAGTAAAACATAAGAAATAAAAAAAGTACTAAAAATAAAGTTTTTTAATTAATGCACCGGTATGTTTTTAAGTTTTGTAGAGTAAATACTTTATAGCATAACTAAAATCTTCCTTTTTCAAATCACAGCAAATTGTTCCGTAAAATTAAGAATTACTTTATAAAATTTGCTCTGAAGTAACAATTTAAATTTATAAATTTAAATACTATAAAAATGTTCATTTGCTAAGGATTTTCGCGTTATACGATATTTATTGCGAAAAATACTTCAAGCGCTATAAGTAAGTACTAGAAAATTATTTTCACATTTTTTTTATTTGAATAATTACAAATATACATTGTAGTATTTGCAGTATAGTTATACTCGTATTTTATTTAAATATTAAAAATATACTTGAGTTTTGAATTGACTCAAGAACTTTCTAAATAGTAAAGAGTTTTTATGTACGATTACTATTTATAATTTCTAAGCGTTATTCCATTAACCACAAAACCTATTTCTGGAAACGCAGTTCCACTAACTACAAACAATGATTTTTTACATTCTCTACTATTAAAAAAACTGGAACTACAATAATTGCTAAAAATGCAAATTTATGCTCAAAACACTTTTACTTACTCTAATTTAATAAATGCCGTTTTTATGCTCTCTTATAAACATAGAATAAACAATACATAAAAATTCTCTTTAACAAAGTAGCAACTAATTTCATCCATTAATTCTCAATTATTATTAAAATCATTACCTACCACAACTACATAATAATTTTTGTTTTTCTCAATAATATTTGCTTTTATGTTTTAAACAATTAAATTGTACATAAAATTATGCTTTATAAAAAGTGTTCGATCTGGATAATTTCGTAGTTTAACTTTGAATTTGTTCCAACTAACATAAAAAAAAAAAGATTTAAAACTAATTTATAAATCGTTTCAAAAGAAATATTACTTAAATAAATTAAATTCTTTGAAAAAATAAACGAAAATTAGTGCCTACATTGTATTAATTTAAAAATATATTAAAATAAATTAAAATGAATACAACCTCAATAATTTTTTTCGGAATAATTATATTTTTATGGTTGTTCTGGTTGTGGAGGAGACGAAAATATTATTATATGGCATATAGTTTACCAGGACCAGTAGGATTACCAATTATAGGAAGTGGATTAAATTTCATAGATACATCAAGTAAGAGAAAAATTAAATTTTAATTATCTAAACATTTTTTTTTTCGAATAGATTATTTTTGAAATTATTTGAATAACAAAAATTATTATTAAGTTTGATTAGATAAAATTTATTTGAAAATTCAAAAAATTTGGAAGAGTAGAAATTTATTTGATAATAGAAACAAGAATAATAGAAACCAAGATAATAGAAACAAGGAGATTTAAAATCCTAGAAAAAAAAATTTTTAACAAATTTTAAGGAAATAGTATAAATCTTCATAGAGCATTCATTTCACATATGTAAAATTGGAAACGTTGATGGGATATCGATCGTAATAAAACACAATAAATAGAATGACGTAAAACTATATATATATTTATTCAATAGAAAAAATAAATTTTTGTAACAATTTTTTGACCCCCTTTCAGTAGTCTCGCGACCCCTTGGGTATCGCGACCCACAGTTTAAAAAGTCCTGATTTAGCTCATAATTTAATTTAAAATAATTTACTTATAGCTTGATGATTATGAAAAGTGTGAGACAGGCGATTCTACCTAAACACTAATTAATTTTGATGTTTTTTTCTTATTTTCACGCATTATAAAACTGTTACTCAACATAAGAAACTACCTGAAATATAATTAAATTTTCAATGATCGCCTAATTCGGCATAGGTTTAAATTACCAAAAATTGTTATTTTGTACATATTAAAAATTTTTGCAACTACTTTTGATTTGCACCTATTTCGAAACAACTGGTTTGACAAAAAACATAAATACCGATCATAGTTACAATTTCCAGTTAAACGATGTATTGGACAATTAAAACTCCAGTTAAAACAGTCGTAAAATTACGAAAAATTTCTGAACATATAAAACGCAAAACGGAGAATTTGCTTATATATGTATTTCATTTTTTTCTTAACTCGTATTAAGCGGCTTGTTTATGTGACCACTGAAATGATCTAGATCTATTTATTTCCAAATTATTGATCAGCTCACGACCTACATTAAGATACATATATATACATATATGTAATCTATGAGTTTGTCTAATAACTGGAAAGCTTTTACATAAAAAATTATAATTTTATTTATTCTTGACTTCAAATGCTCAAATTCTTGATTTTCTTGAATTTTAATAGTTTAAGGTTAAAATAAATGTAAACTAGTTCACATAAACTTTATGACATACATACCCATATTGTAAAGTTAAGCTGTATAAAAAAGTTTCATATAAAAAAAGCTTAATAAAAATAATTAAAAATAAAAAGATTAAAAATTTTAAAAAAAATATATTATATAAATCCTGAAAATATGCAATATTTAATTAAGTGTAGATTATATTTAGTCAATTTATTTATACTACATACGTATATGTATAGAATTTTGCAATAATATTTATATTTTATGGAAACTTATATTTTGAAAAAAATTATTATTATTTTTTTTGTTTAATAAAACTTTTACAAGATTTTCTCATGCTGTATTCTTCATATATACTATATATACATATATAATTTATATTCATGCTTGTAGATATGATCGCCGCGAGTTATTATCCCACCTTGCTCTATAAATAGATTTCAAAATCAATAACTTTTACATATAAGTATATAACACCTTGATAGCAATAATAATCAAATTAACTAAAGAAATTGAAAGTTTATTTATTCATATATATATTTAAATATATATATATATATATATATATATGGTGGCATTTATTTTAATAGTTGAAAATGTTTTAATATTTTATTTCTGAATTAATTTTGAAAAGGTTATTTTAAATTAAGAGCAATTCAACCTAGAATTGGATTTTAAAAATAATATCGAAATATAATATGTAGCTGTTTACAATAATAATTTATTATGTGGGAATATAATTAACCGTTATTCTAAATTTTACCAATATAAATTGATTAGTAAATTATATCCTAAAAGAAAAATTTGAAATATGTAAGAATATAGTGTTAACTTCTAAGCAGTCAATAACAGAATTTAGAATTTTAAAGTACAATCCAAACTTAAAATTTTTAAATTCTTTAGCTTTAGATATTAAACCTTGCAACTCTCGCTTTTTATAAAAAAAAAAAAACTTTATAACTTTGAAATTTATTTTTAGAAGTCTTATATTATCTCATGCAAGGAACTGAAAAATATGGACACTTATGGACAGGTTTTCTTGGACTTAAACCATGTATTTTAACTTCAGATCCGGAAGTAATTGAAGAAATTTTCACAAATGAACTTTTTGTTGATAAAATGGATATTTACAATGTCATTAACGATTTTTTAAAAGAAGGACTTTTCACTTCCAAATGTAAGACTATACATTAAAAATTAAAAATATTAATAGTAACTACAAATATTAATTGCTTAGATTTTTAGAAAGTTGGTTTAGCAAATTATTTTGCAGTTACTAAAATAAAAATAAAAATTTCAATTTAATTTTTTTTTTTATTTTCTTTAAATTCTTATTAAATTTTTTTCTTAAATTTAAGATGATAAATGGATTGTTGCACGAAAGCATATAAATAAAGCATTCGCACATAAAATTCTACTTGATTTTTTTCCAATTTTTAATCAAAAAGGTAGAGAACTTTCCGATGCTTTTGAAAGTTTAGCAGGAAAAGGGGAAATCGATATTTATGGATATATACATAAACTTCAATTGGACACAGCTTGCAGTAAGTAAACAACTATTTATTATTTATTAAAAGCAATTTATTAACCTAACATATTCTATTTTTGAAATAATTTTTAGTAACAACAATGGGACAAGAAACGAATTTTTTAAGAGGCAGCAATCCTGAGTTATTAAGTTCATATGAATTGTAAGTACGCATGTTTTGAACGATTTAATTGCATTATGTCCAACTAATTTTCTAAAATTTATGAATTAAAACAAAATATTAGTGGATTTCGGATGTTCGTCAAATAGAGATTTCATTATATACTAAATGCATTGTCAGCTAATTTAATAAATTAATCACCCAATTTAGTTAAATAAATTTTAATTAAGTGTTTAATCATATAATTTTAAAAATTCATTTAATGATGCATAAAAAATTTTAATTAAATATTTTTCGTTCTTTTAATTACAGTTTAATAGAAATTACATCAAATAGAATATTTAATCCATTTTTAACAAACAGTTTCGTATTTAAATATTTATATCCAAAGAAGAAGAAATTTGATCATTGTATGCGTGTCATGCAAAAGAATACTCTAAAAGTAAGTATGAATTAAAAGCTTCTACAATATAAATAATAATTGTATAGAGTAACATAGCGTACAGAGTGAAATTTAATGACACAGGAAAAACCAAATATAATGAGCTCATTTTAATAAAACGTTTTAAGTTGCATTGCAACTTCTAATTTTTCGTTATTTCATATTTTTATTAGAAATTATTATTTATTATAGAACACAATTATTATCATATAAGTTTTAGTAAAGTAATTTCTAATTTTAAATTTGAAAAAAAAATATACATATATTAAAGTTTATCGAGAAAAAAATTGAAGATATCAAGAGAGCACAAGAGGAAAATACGAAGGAAAATAGTTCACCAGAAGATGATTTTAATATTACCAAATCCAAATCGATTTTTATTGATATAATGGTAAGGGAATATTTGGCCGGAAATTTTACATGGGAAGAATTGCAGCATGAAGTAAATACAATGATAGCAGCTGTAAGTCAATTAATTGTTTTTTTTTTCCAAACTAAATTTTTTGCATTTTGAAATCGAACATTAATTATTGATAAACTATTAAAATAATTTTAGGCTTATGAAACTACAACAAATGTTTTATATATGGCACTTCTTCATTTGGCCATGTATCCTCAATGTCAAGATAAATTATATGAAGAAATAATATCAGTTACATCAGAAGATGACACTTTTATTACATATGACGATGTTCAACAATTAGTTTATACAGAATTAGTTATGAATGAAACAATGCGTTTAATAAGTCCAGTTCCATTAATTGGACGTAATGCAATTAAAGATGTTCGATTAAAAAATAATTTATTAATACCGAAAGATACAAATATTGTTATCAATTTACTGAGTTTACATCGTAGAAATGATATATGGGGTCCAAATGCTGATCGCATATTTAATCCAGAAAATTTTTTAAAAGAAAATCTCGTTAATAAACATCCATATTCATTTGTACCATTTACAAAAGGTATAAGAAATTGTATTGGATGGCGATATGCAATATTTTCTTTTAAAATAATGTTAGCAATAATTATAAAACGTTTTAAAGTTAGTACAACATTTAAATATGATGATTTAGTATATAAAGAACAAATTATTACAAAATTTAAAGTAAATCCTAAAATAAGTTTAACATTAAGAAAAAATGTTTAAAATATCACGAAGGAAAAATTCTGTAACTGTAATCTAAAATAAGGTATAGATGGTAAACCAAGATTTGGTTTTATTTTTGTTTTTTAGTTTTTTAAATATCTTTCAAAATTTTCGATTTTCTGTAAAATTTTTTTTCAACGTTCTAAGGAACAAATTTTGTTCGCAGCATTTATTTAACTTTACTTTTAACATCCGGTCTAATTATACAATAACATCTACTACATATTCAAAATAAAATTTCGTCAAATTTGCATAAACATTTTTAAGTAAAAAGTAGTTTAATCAATTTATAAATTGATACTAATATCGTATATTATAAAAAAAATATCTTATTATACAATTTATTGAATTATAAATATTATATTAAAAATAATAGCTTATAATTAAAATATTTCAAAAGAAACTATACTTTGAACTTCTCATTATGCATTATAATTATTATAGTGTTATAAATGTATTGTTATATAGGAATAAAGTCCAATAAAACTTGTTTTAATTATTCTGGTTTTTTAACTTGCAATATGCACTAATTAAAAATTAGAAATATATGTGTACCTTCAGCATAATTGTTTTTTTGTTATATAATAGTTGTAAAAAATACTAAAAGAACTTTGTGTAACTTATATAAATATATGCGCAAGGTCTACGAGAAAATCATAATTTTATATATAATAAGTGTATAATTAGAAAATGTTTTCCTTTATATTTAATACCAATAAAATAATAATATATCATTGTAATACAGTTGAATAATTATACTAAACGCACATTATAATTTTTTATATTATAATTCACAATTATATATTATAACTACATTTATATACATATATAACTACATTTATGTTGTATAACAATTATATCATAACTGCAATTTACTGTGAACGCATTTTGAATTTACATAATTTTCAAATATCAATAATAATAAAAATATGTAGGAATATGTATATGGTAAGGTGATGCAATAATCATTGCCCCAATATAATATGTACCGTTTGAATAGTCGATTACTCATTTCCAGTTTGTTTTAAGTAGAAAATTTCAAATTCCGGAGGTTTGCACAAAAAATTTGTCAAAAAAATGCGTATTCATTTTTCAATAAATTACTAGTACAACTTCCTTTTCAAAAAATTGGTTGTATCCTATTCAAATAAGGTTGATCAATGACCTGAAGAAGTTTAAAACGTGTATACTTTTTTCCTCTATTACATGGTCGAAAATGATTAACTCTCAATGATTTATTGCTTTGCAATCGTGTAAGTCAACAATATAAATATTCAACCTAATCCCATAGAGGATTCACAAAAATTCACATAAGTAAATTTATCACTATTCACAACATCACATGCTTGAAGTGTTATAAAAATTATTAAAATTTTGTAATACATGCGCAATTTATTTGAAAATAATTAACCTATATCACGCATATTAAATGAAATCCGGTCAAACATCTATTGTACTACATTCTAGTTGTTTCAGCAGTCTAATCTTGACAAGATAAAAATTAATAAAAAATTACAATATAAATCAATCCAAACTAATATGAAAAAGGAAAAAAAAGTGTATCATATTGGAATATAAGTTAAACGTGAAACATCAAAGCATTTACTTTTTATAAAATATAATTGTGAATTAATTAAATCAACCAATATTAGAAATTAACTTTGAACTACATATGTTACTTGAATTTATATTACTTACGTGAATTATAACAAATAGTGTATTTTCTTTAAAAACAAGTAACTTGTCTATTTAGCTCATACAAGAGATTAATTAAAAATATGTAAGTTTCCTGTTCTTATTGGAATAATTAATATTTCCAACGAAATGTTTTACGTAACAAAGGTTACGTAAAAACAGAATGGTTAAAAATATGAACAAAATGAAAATAACTGGAATTTCTTCACAGCTTTTGATGTTTAAAGGGTCTTATAAGAAGAAGTACAAAGTTATAAATAAAATTACCGTATTCTACTAATATTCAACACTTAATATTGGAAAAAGAAATCAGGAGAACCAAACAATATAACATATTTCATGATGAAACAGAACAGCACCGTTCAACCAGAAATAATTCGTGTGGGGTTCTCAAAATGGTTTGCCGTGGTGTTTTGGTGGTCGCGGTGAATTATTTTCGGGGAACCTTGCGGTAATAATGTGCTATTGTCACACCGGAAAAAACATTTTGTACACAATTTATACAAAATATTAATAGAATATTTGCTTGTTTTTATTCAACTGACTGCAAACAATTCAGGTTGTCATTAATTAATGAAAATATTTTTATTGATTCGTGTAAACTGCTCTTAAGGTTGTTGACAAGATAAAATGACATAATACCTCAGCAAAAAATGCACAAAATTCAATGTTTTTTATATTAACCTAATAATTATTTATGCAAAATTATACCAGTGACTATTGGTTTGAATTTTAGTCTACGTGAATATTTAAAGCTTTATGATTGTGTTTTAATTATAATTGCGTTTAGATTATTATTCAACGACATTTGCAATGTATGTGCCTGGCGAAGCATTAATTTCCATCCATCTTTTACTTAAAAGAAGAACCAACACAATTTGCCCCAAAATACTACACTTTAAAGGGAAAACTTTTATTCAAACGATGTCAAACTTGTTTTTTATACTCTTTTTAAAATAATTTTTTAAATTTGCAAAGTCATTATTATTCGTTTTAAAGTATTGTTCATAGGGCATTATAAGCTTACCTTTGCATTTATAACACTGCGATATAAAACGTTACTTTTATGGCTAAAGAGTCACGAGATAAAGTAGTGGAAGATACAAGCGAAGTCTGTTTGCACTAAGCTGCAGGAATGCTGCAAGACACTGTTTCACTAGTAAAATATTAAGAGACAGAACATTGTCTCGTCGGGTATCTGTTGTGATGGTCAGACCAATTGTAGTAATGAAGAACATGCGTCACAACTATCAACCTTCTAAAGTACCTAATAATGCAGATACCAAATATTGTTGCTCGATATATTTCATATTGTGAAACTTTTCTATAATTAAATTTCTAAGAAATGTTGAAAGTACTTATAAGAATGCTTTAAATCTTGAATTAAACCTACAATAATTCACAGGTCAAATAGTTAGAAAACCTGTTAACATTTTTATAATTCTATATACTCGTGTATTGAACTTTTTTCATAGTAACTTCTTTTTTTCTTGTATATGTAAATTCCCTGTTTTCGCATCGTTACACAATTTTATTGCGTTTAGAATGTATAATTGATCATACACGTTTGCATTAACACGTTAAAAACAAGTAAAATGACATATTTATGAATTAATAAGTGAAATAACTTTGTGATTTAATGAATTTCTTCTCTTTAATTATTATTATAATTATACAAATTAAAAAAAAAACCTTTATTCGACAGCAACCTTTATTAGCAGCTTACGAAACTTTTTTTAATAAACTGTCTGTTGAAACTAAACTTTATTGATCCACTTATTTTCCTTTAGATATAAAGTCACATTTCTGAATAATGCACTACACATATGCGTATAATAATAAAATTCTGCAAAGTAATTTGAATGAAATTTATTATTAAACTTGTATATCAGAATTTTGCAATTGGCAACTCTAATTTTTAATTTTCTGTATACTTAAAACTTGTCTTATACTGCATTGAATGAACTTAAAGCTTTTATTTTAATAACTCATTGATTCACAATAGATATAAATTCACGATTTCATATTATTCTCTTCTGCACAAAATTGAATTAAATTTGCTCTTAAGATTTTATTGTTTATGTTTATATTTTTTTGCACAAACAAAAAAAAAAAGAAAACATAACAAAAATAACGTGAAAAATAAATAGAAAAATTCTACCCCATATATAAATTTTCAGGTGCAAATTTAAAATAAGTTAGTTTAATCTTTGCTTCATTAAGAACAACATAAAAAAAGGAATAAGGTTAACTTTAAAAAAAAAAGTGAAAATCAAAAAAATTGGAAATAAAAAATTTTAATTTAAATCTTAGATTTTTTTTTTTTAATTTTGTGTTGTTCTTACAAAATGTTCATCGCTTTAGTTTTATTTCTTGCAATTCTTGTAATCGCTTGGTTACACTGGGTATGGGATAGACGCCGATTTTATAAAGCAAAAAAAGAAGTAGGCGGACCATTTGAATTTCCAATTATTGGTAGTGGATTAAATTTTATTGATCAATCAAGTGAGTCGAAAATTTTAATAAGTGAACGTAATTTTTTCTTATAAAGCATATAAATTAAAAGTTAAATTTGAAAAATGAGATTTATCTAAAAAGAGCATTTACGATACCTTAATGTGAATATAAATTCGTTATAAAAATTAAATTACAATTTGAAAAATTTTATCGAATAAATTTAAATCAACAATAAGAAAGCAAAAAGAAAAATTTAAGTTTGAAATTTAAAAATAAAAATAAAATATTTTCCAAAGAAAAAATTAAAAATTTTACGATATTAAATTCAATGAAAAAAATTAATTAAAATTTAGGCAGAAGTGTATGTGATTTCCTTTTAATAATGGCATATAAAAGTAAATGAGAAAAAACTGTGGTCAAATTTAAAAAAATTTATTAATAAAATGGTTTTAAAAATATTTTAAATAAATACGTTCTTAAAATTTTGTTCAATGATCCAAAAAAACTATTAATAACAAGAAAAATTTTAAAATAAAAGCTTTTTAACGAATTTAAAATTGAGATTTAATCAATGTAACTAATTTCGATTAAATATTTGTGTTGATTTGTGATATTTTTAAATTCAATTATTTATTTGTTTTTCATTACGATTAAAATTAAATTACGTTAATGACCCAAAATATTTTAATAACATAAATTAAAAGTGTATTGAAAAATTAAAACGAATGAATATGGCTTTGGAAAAATATTAAAAAAAAATTTTATATTTGGAAAGAAGAAAACACTGACACTAGAATAAATGTGTATATATACATATATATATATATATATATGTATATAAATCTATAAGTTTCTGCGAAAGCAGTATATCTCATAGATATTATTATTTTAAATTGATTATATCACATATTCAATAGAAATTTTGCTAAATTTTGTCAATTCATTCATAATAATGGCCGTATTCTGTATTGCAAAGAAAACAAAAATTGCATACTTTGACGATTTATCACGCACACCGCATGGTATCTTTAAAATATTTACAATGTTACGCACTCCAAATTGATGCGTTTACGCAATTTTAAAAAAATTATTGATATGCTTTGTTAAATATCGGAAATAATTATTGGCAGTATGCATTAAAAATATTTAAATTAAAAATTGACTAATGTTTGACATTTTGCGTAGAATTAAAAACTCTAGAATTTAATTTGAGGATTGTAACAAAGAATTTTATAAAAACTATGTCTTATAATCAAAATGTTTTGAATATTTGCGTTGCAATCGTATTAAAATAATCCGAAAATTACAAATATTGAAACTAGTTAAATTTAGATTTTGTATTTTATTTCAGCACTACCTACACCAATTTTTTTAACAACTTGTGATGTAATATCACGTATAATAGAATGTGGAGTTGTGCTTTAATGTTATTACAAATGCAGTGACATATTATTTTTTTACCTTCAAATTAAAAGTTAATAATAGTTAAAAACGTGCGTGTACAACAATATTTTAGCAACCGTAGAAAGATTATATTAAATCTAGAAGTTGCAGTTCTTGAATTAGCTTTTTTCATTATTATTTATTGAATTTTTACTAATTGATTAGCTGAATACATGTATACATAAATTAAATAAGAAATGAAATTTATTCTGATATATCACAAATATCATAATTATTATAAAGTTATACGGAAATCAAATAAGTACAAATATAATGAAAAATAAATTTTTTGAAGAAAATATAATATTTAAACATATTTATGATAGAAAACATATTTTCTGAATCTTGAACTAAATTTAACCCTTTAATTGATATGATAACTTATTCCTTGAATATTCTTATAGTATTAATTTCCACATTTCCAACTTGAAGGATTATTTGATTGAAGATTTTTGATTAAAGAGTTTTGATCAAAATTTTTGCAATTAAAATAGTTCTTGTAGGTGCTAGTAATTCGGTCATAATAAACATAAAGTTGGTTTCTATAACGTAAAAAATTTGTAGTTTAGGCCAAAGTGTAATATTATTTTTGAAAGAAATTGGATCGATATTAATTACACGCTTAAATTTATAATATACACCCTGTTATAATTAGAAGAAATATTTAACTTTAGTGGAATTTATTTCTTTTTTTAGAACCTTTATATTTTCTAAATGGTTTACACAAGATATATGGTCATACATATTTTGGTTTTCTTGGCTTAAAACCATGTTTTATAACATGCGATCCTAAAATTATAGAAGAAGTTTTTACAAATGAAAATTTAGTTAACAAAATGGATATATACAATGTTATTAATGACTTTGCTTACAATGGACTTTTTACATCTGAACGTAAGAATTTATATAATATAAATATTATACATACTAAAACTATAATTCCATTTTATTCATTTGTTATATTAATTTTAATATTTTAGGTAAAAAATGGCAACATTCACGAAAACATATAAATAAAGCATTTACAAATAAGGTTCTATTAAGTTTCTATAATATATTTAATAAACAGGCGTTAGAACTTTGTAATATTCTTGAACAACATGTAGGAAAAGGTGAAATAGATTTATATACATATATTGAAAGAGTTCAATTGGATACAGCATGTTGTAAGTGAATATTATTTGAAAATACGAAATTTTATTTTAATAAATTAAAATTAATTAATATTATAATTAGTAACAACAATGGGTCAAGAAACTAATTTTATTAGAGGCGAAAATAATGAACTTCTGGAAGCTTATACAGAGTAAGTTGTCTATAACATATGTAGTTTAAATAATAATATTTCAAAACAAATTGTGACGACATATAAGTATATCACTACATGTCGTACATATATATCATTTAAATGACGGAACATTTTTTAGTAATTTAATAAACTGCTCATCACAAAAAAATTTCTATACTTTTTATTCAAAATATTTAATCATATATTTTACACAAATACTTAAAAGCATTGGAACTTAAATTTTTGATATGTGTCAGTGCTATTCTACATGTACGGTATATTTCTGTCATACTCTTTATTATGTAATCACACGTAATCTTTATCGCATTGAATTCTATACTTACTCGAGTGCATTGCATACAGGGAAGCTTTGTGATGGCACCAAATTTTGAGGGCCGGTTCTACATTTTTGATCGTTTTTAAGAAATTATTCGACAAATTTTCTTGAAATTTTTTACATAAGCTTCGCTTGACAATGCGAGAAACCAAAGTCACTCTTCTGAAATTGCTAAATTAGAAGATAGACATTGCGGTTTGTTATATATTGGCCATATAAAAATTTTTATATTTATATTTTGAAAACAAAAACATGTCATCCATTAAATTAAGTTAACCCTTTGCCAATTCCATTATTTCATTAATTTTCCAAAAATTGTTTTATATTTTAGCCTTATTCGTTTCCTAGGAAGGAGAATATTTAACCCGTTGTTAACCAATAATTTTATATTTAGTTACTTCTATGGAAAAAAACGACAATACGATAAATCACTTAATATTATCAAATCAAACACTTTAGGGGTAAGCTTATTTTTAATTATTTAAAATTAGTATGCCTTTATTAGAAATTTATTTACCATTCATATGCTATTAATATAACTAAATAGTTTAATATTGAAAATATCTTCGCTCTTTATGATCTACCATAAATTGTATGTAGAACAAAGGCAGCTTCCAAATAATGTATTCTTTATACTTTACAGTTTATTGAAAAAAAATATTTGGAAATTAAAAAAGCTCAAGAAGATGGTTCTAATAAAGATCAAGATAGTTCACCAGAAGATGAAATGAATATTACAAAATCAAAATCAATTTTTATTGATATTATGGTAAGAGAATATATGGCGGGAAATTTCACCTGGAAAGAGTTACAGGCGGAGGCTGACACAATGATTATAGCAGTAAGAATCTTTTTCCAAAGATATTGAAAAAAAACAATAATAATTTTAATATTTAATCATTTTAGGCTTACGAAACTACAACAAATGTACTTTACATAACATTATATTTACTTTCAATTTACCCGGAATATCAAGATAAATTATATGAAGAAATAATATCGGTAACAACTGCTGAAGATATATCTATAACACCTGAACATGTTCGATTACTTACTTATATGGATATGATAATGAATGAAACAATGCGTTTAATTAGTCCAGTTCCAATAGTTGGACGTGATGCAACTGAAAATGTAAAATTGGGTAAATATAATGTACCAAAAGGTACAAATATTATTATTGATGTATTTAGTTTACATCATTGCGAGGAAATATGGGGTCCAAATGCAAATCATGTATTCAATCCTGATAATTTTTTAAAAGAAAATCTCGTTAATAAACATCCATATTCATTTGTACCATTTACAAAAGGTATTAGAAATTGTATTGGATGGCGTTATGCCACCATTTCATATAAAATAATGTTGTCAATTATTTTAAAAAAATATAAAGTTAGTTCAACATTTAAATTTAAAGATTTAAGATATACTGAACAGATTGTACTTAAATTTGAAGAAAATCCTAAAATAAGTTTTGAATTAAGAAAAAATAAGACAATTTCATAAAATTTTTAAATTATTTTAATTTTATTTAGAAGATATTTTGGAATTAAAAAATTTCGACTTTCATGTTATTGTGGTATAGGAAATTGGCAATAAAAAATATTTTTAATTAACATTCTATAAGAAAAATTGTCATTAATTATGTAATAGTATTATTAAATTGTAATATAAAACAAAAATTAGTCAGATTATAATAAGAGATGAAAGAAATAATATTATTTTAAAATTATTTTGTTTTAATTGTTTTAAAACTGGTCAAATATTTAAAGAGCGTTATGATGCTTTAGATGATTAATTTGTTTCAAATGTTGTATGAATCTTAGGGTTTTCCCCAAATATATTTTTTGCTTTTGTGTTAAATTTCAATATTATAAATAATAATAATGAAAAATTTTACAACAAAATTGAAAAGCTATGAAAAATCGAGAGATTTCGATATGATTTAAGGATTTTTATATAAAAATTTTGTAAATAGCTTATTGAAATAATTGAAAATGTAGTAGCATACTATGAAAATGGACATAAAAGTTATAGAAGACTTATTGACTTCATTTTTAAGAAATTTACTTTAATTTATACAAATTAAAATTAATTCATTTAATAGAAGGCATAAATATATTTTTATTCAAATACGAAGATCAATAAATTTTTGTTATAATTTTATTCATTTCATATCGAAATTTACCTTTGTCAATCTAAACAAATTTTGTCAATTTATGAAAAGGGTTTCTAATATTTTGTCACATTTAACAAAAAAATTTGTAATAAGGCTTCATATATGTGAGATAAATAATTTTATACATATTATGCTTTATATACCAAGAAATTAGATAAAATTGCGAAAAATACAATTAAAATCATTTTTCTTAATCTAATGTAAATTGCCTTCATAACACCTGTGAAGGTCGATTCATATTTACATATTATATATATTTGTGTATATAAAGGCGGCTAAATAATTTTATTTATATTATACGATCGTGATGAGAACATACTTACTATATTTGCAGAAAATTTAAAATCTGTTCAAAACACGTGCTGCGAGTATGTACAATATCTCATATACTAATATATTATTATAAATTTAAAATATTTCAATACTGTGTTTGGAAATTAATACGAGTATTATTAAAACTTTAGCAACATAATGAAATTTCTGTTAAGAAAATATTAATTATAATTTGCATTTTCAAACAAATATGAAGACTAGTATATACAAATGAAATCTATAAATAAAATTTAATTTCTGCTTATTTTTTTTTTATTTTACTTTAATTAAATTTATTAAGAAATTCTTATTCACTAATATAAAAGTTATTTCCTTTTTTAATATAATTAAAGTAGTAGGTATATAGAATATTTTAATTTATTCCTCAGCAACCAAGTAAATTTATTTTACATACATACATATGCATGTAAATTATTGTATAGTTAATAAAAGCTAGTTAAATTGCATTAAATCATCTAAAATGTACTACTTATTTTCCATTATTTAATTTTCTTGGAAATTATTCAATATAAATTTATGTATATTTGTGGTTTTGAAGCTTTATAATGTCATTTAAGAAAGATTTCATAATAATATATGTACATATATGTATAAAAGCATCGAATATATTTACATATACAGTTACATATGCTAAAGAACATTTATTTTATTCTATAAGACATAAATAAATTTATATAATGTGTACATGTGAATATAACATATATGATATATGTCTTCTTGTTTAAGCTTTAATAATGTATTGAATTTGTACACGTTTTTCATTTAATAAAAAGCCGGCAATTTAATTTAAATGAAAATTAGTAAATCTAATAATATTTTCTATTTAAATAAAATTTTATTGATATTTTCATGGAAAAAAATGCTTTTATTTTTTATTTATTTCTAATGTTTACTTCAACTACTTACAAAATTGTAATAAATTAATAAGCAATAATATAACTATAATTAACTAATATAAGAATACCTAAGCAATACATACTTACAAAGAATTATAAAAATCAATGAATAAACTCTTATAATTTTATTTCAAACAGTTATTGTGCCTATGATTTTTTAGAAAAGCAAAGATTTAATCGAAGAATCTTCTCACACCATAAGGTTTTTTGAGAATATATACTAGTACAAGAATGTGACATCATTGTACAACATAGTCAGATTTATTATAAAATGTTATATATATTTAAATATATTATAAAACTTACAGATTACTTAATCTTCAATTTGATTCGAATTCAAAACGCTTACCTGAAAAATAAAAGTAAAAATATATTTTTATATAAAAATTAAATTTTTATGTTAAGAAAAAAATGTTAGAAATTTAATAAGCAACATGATATTATGTTTGCATGTATATATGTATTTATATTACATTTAACTAGGATAGAAAAAATGATATTGATTCAACACATTAGAATTTCAAATTCGTAATCAAAAGTCAAAAAAAAATTTTTTTTGTTTTACTTGCATATAAGTAGTTCACACTTGAGGTAATAATCTGTGACGTCCAAATTGCAGATAAAACGTAAACTTTGCAAAGTCATATGATTCAAATTGCAAACTGAAGAAGAAAACAACGTTAACTGTTCCAAGAAGTTTAATAAACGTCAAATAAAATCAAGAATATAAAGCAAATCCCGCAATCTAATAAATTTAGTATAGCTCTACTTAGTGTACTGTTAAGACATCAAGACATGTTGTACAGCTGATTTTTATAATATTAAAATTTTTAAAATGTGATTTTTGGCAATTGACGTTTACTTATAGTGACCAAAAATATTAAAACGACATTTTTTTCCCAAATAATTTTTTTTACAACGTACATTTGGGTAACATAAATTTGTATATTAATGCTGGAAAAAAAAATTTTGTTTTGAGACGTTGCTGATGTCACCGAATTTCGCAGTCTTGTGAATGAATCTTGAATAAATAACAAGATATTTAAATAAATAACTAATTTCATAATTTCATTAATAATTCATTTTCAATATTATAATTGAAAAATATTTTATTATATTTCATTCATAATAAAATTTTTATTAAAAATTATATAGAAGATATTTAATAGATTTTTGTTTGCTTTAATTCGAAGTTGTTCTTTTCGAAAATTTTGACATGGCCTCTTTAAAATATAAAATAATTTTTGTCGTCTCTTATGAGTATTTTCATAACGTATACATATTATAGTTTATAGTGTTATACAGAAGACAATATTGTCGCTTTACACAACGAACAACTGCACAACGAACAATTACACAACGAACAATTACACAACGAACAACTTTTTTTGAGAGGCGCTTGTGAGTAATAAGTTTTTTAATTTAAAATAGCATCGGTACTCAAAAAAAGAGTTCTATTGTTTAACTAAAAGGATTGTCTTCTGTATATCACTGTAAGCAATTTACATAACGGTTTTTCGCAATTTTCATTGTTAATGATTTTTTCTTTGAGTAGGCGCGTTTTCACATATTGTTTGGCTTTTACACTAAAAGCATCTCAAATAATTGATTTTAAAATAGTAGGCAACCATGTCCTCAAGTGTAAAAGCTACAACTCTCAGTCATTAAAATTCTTTTTTTTTCACGTTTCTATTCCATTTACTGTATAGGTATTTTAGGTATAGCTATACCATACTTTTTCCATGAATATGTGAATGCAAATTTTTTTTTTTATATTCCGATTTTATTTTATTATGATGCTTTTAAAATTATATACGTATATACATTTACACACGTATATGGTGTAGTGTAGAGGATATTTCATTAGCATATAAATTAAAGAAAAACTGACAACAAAAAAAAAAAACAATGAAAACCAACAAGAATGTCATTTCGTTCCTTTAAATATGAGGATAAAAAAAATTATTTTACAATGCCAGAAATGATGAAATTATTAAAGAAAAATACAAAAAAAATTTTTTGTTTGTTTTTTTTTTATAAATGTAAACAAACACCTCACCAATAAAAGTTTCGATTTTTACCATTTTATATCCCTTCAGAATATATGAGCTTTTGCTCTTTGCTCAAATTTAATATCCACATACATATATATTTTTATATTCACATACATTTTTATTATAAATTTATATATGTACATAATAATGTGAGTAAAATATCGACACACTTTTATATATAAATTATTGTGAATCTTTTGTAAATGTATTTGAAAATGAAAAGGATTTGTTTGATATCCTTTCGTCATTTTGGTATTTAGATGATATCTTTTTGTTTGCTCTTCTATTCTTTTATTAATTTTCATAAAACAGAGAAAATTATCATTCAAAGTCTATTTGAGAAATAAAAGAAATAAATACAAAATCGTGAATTGAAATTTTATAAAATTATACCGTAAAAAGAATGAAATTTCTGCAAAAAATTTTATCGTAAATAAATGCGCCTACAAAGTTTCCATAATTAATAAATTTGTACTATTATTTAGCATTTACTACAATAGACTAATACACACATTGTATATAGGATTATCGTACGTATTTTCATATGCATAAAATAGATGATTTCTGTTGTGGAGATTGATTTTTAACGGATCAGGCGGTATTTGTTAAATTTTCAAATCGAATTGGTTTTCAATGAGATTCAAGCGAGAATAAAGCGCACAAAACGCTTATAAACATTATCAATAATTAAGGTGTAAATAATACACCCAAAGAAGGTGTTCGTTTTGAGTAATTCGCCTGTGTGGAACAGTAGAAGACGGTGTCTCATCTCCTTTACGCATTTCTGGCTTTGGCAGAAAAAGACGGAAATGCCTTAGATCAGTTTTGTTTTTACGGACTCCGGATCTAGCGAATGTAAATGTCAGTGGCTTTAATCAGTTTCTAAAAAATTCGGGTTGGTTCTCATGAAGCTAGGGGAATTTTGTGGATCCGGCGGTATCACAACGTGGCCTATGTGTATCTTCTGCACATCTGTAGTAACATCGATTGTATATAGCTTCAAAAAAAAATATTTAGCTATATAGCTACAAAAAAACAACACCCATTAAAATAATATAAGTATAATTATTGTGTGAATACGATACATCTATCTATTTACTTATACTTATATCGGATTATTACGTATCATTTTGTCAAAAAATAATGTTTACTGTTAAATTTATACCATACTTATTCGGCTAGTTTTCACACGTATTCAACATAAAAAATTCAAAATCTTCATTTTAAGCAAAGAATTAACATTTTTTTTTTTTGTAATGTAGACATACATTCATATATACGCAAAAATTGTATTTAATACAATATTATTTTTGCTGATATTTATTTATACAGCAGCCACTTAAAGGTCATCAAATCTTAAATTTACATACCCGTATAAACTTACATATAATATGTAACTATATTATTGTATTTAATATGTTTATGTAATACATATTATATACAATATTACTTATATAATGAGAGAAGCAACTATAATATACATATAATATAGTTTAAATATTACATTTTTATTTTAGTCGCATTATCAAGGATAGTGATCTGTATCATATGAATATAATGTTGTAATTTTAGTAAAATAGATGATAATGTATTTGAGTGAAAACACCGAACGAATATTAAATAAGCTATACACAAAGAACAATGAAAATAGAAACTACAAAAAAAAGGTAAATTTAATATTCTATTTTGCAAATATTACAAAGTAGTTTTTAAAAAAAAAAAAAAAAGTAGAAAAAAGACGACAAAGTGGTCCACACCCAAGGGTTTATAGAAGATTTCTCAGCTAAATACGCTTTAATTTTACACAAACTAATTTCATTTTACACATTACATTTTCATTTATGGTAACACCATTATTGATGAAAATATCTAAAATAAAAGCCATCACGTTTATTTAAAAAAAAAGTATCTTTAATCATATAGAATAAAATGGGAATACGTGCGAAAATGGCCCAAAAAATAAACGCATTAATCCAATAAAATCTTTCAAATGTTGTATAGACACTAAAATTAGAATTTAATAATTGATTTATTATATTAGTATAAAATAATACAATGTAAGTAAAAGGTAAAATTTTTGCTTAATAACAGTAGTTTGAGAAACTCCTTTAAATTTGCTTGAATCAACTATGTTTTTTAATAAAAATTCTAAATGGGTAAAATTGGGTTCTGCTCCCTTTTAATTTTATTTTTTTGTCTAAAAAAAAATCTAACATGATCGTCGCAATTTTTATTAAGAAACACAAGACTTATCAAAAATGGAAATATTTTCATATACGCTATTAACTTGTATGTACTGTTAAAGTTAGAATCGTTGCGAGCATTGTCGTATTATAGGAAACGTTTAATAAATTTCTTTTGTTTTCTTAATGATCATTTGAATATTTTTGCCTTTTTAATTTTATTCTTTTACGACTTTCTTAGAATTTAAATTAACAAAGTTTCCGTTTTAATATTTTTGTACTGTAAAACCATAAAAATAAGGATAACTAATCGCTTTTATGCATACATTCATACAAAATATCAAACAAATTATAATGGAATGAATATTTTTTCATTTGCTAAATTTTTTAATTATGAAAATTGTAAAAGCTAAAAACATCGAATCTGTCTGTCAATACCGTGAATATTCAATCAACTTTAAAAAGTGTGTGTTTTACTTTTACTACTTAAGAAATAGTTGATAAATTGTTAATTCACATGAACCCAGAAGAATGGTGACTTGTGTAACTTTTGAAATTAATTGTTATCTTGTTCCCAGAATTTATTTCTATGAAAGATTTCTATAATATTTTTCACCCTCCTCCGTTCGGTTTTTGTCATTTTTAAGAAATACCAAAATTTTAAATTTATTTCTTTGAAAATTCATACTCAAATTTCTTATAGAAAAACATTAAATAACGGTAAATGTACTCTTATGGGGAAAACGCAATGAAATATTTTATATGATCTAATTTGCTATGGTTTGTTTTAGTTTTGTTCTTCTCCTAAATATATGCAATTATTACAATATATTTTATAGGATATTAAAAGAAAATTGTATTTAAATATATTGCATTTAAATATATTGCATATTTCCCACTTGGGAATGTTAATATTTTGAATAATTTCATAAATGTTAATTTCTATCTAAAAATTAATTTTAATTTTCATATAAAATTTTTTTATTATTTTTTTTTTATATACAAGTTTTATTTCTTTTACCTTGGTTTGATGTCGCTGATAAACTAACAATACTTTGTGCTAATATTATTCCTTGTACCATTAATATCATCCACCATAAAGAATATTGTAAATTCGCCATTTTGTCAATAATAAAATTTTTATATTTGTTTTTTTTTTCTTATAATTTAATTAAAGTTGACAAAATAAATATATTTTTTTCAAATTATTTTATAATACTAAGAAATTCGTCTGAATTTCAAGAAGGTAAACAACAAAAAAAAAAGCAGAACTAAATAAGATTTATTAAAAATTTTTCCAATCTTTTTATTTATTTTAAATACCTATATAATATTTAATAATTATCACTTAATTATTGTTAATTGAATTAATAAAAGAATATTTTTAGAATGATATTTTTAATCTCAATTAGGTTTTATTCATTTTCAATAAATATTTTCAATGAATTTTTATTTTAAAATATTTTTTATATATTATTTATAATTTAATATTACAGTACTTATTTTTCATTAATAAATCACTTGAAATTCATTAATTTTAATTCTAAAATGTTAAGTACTTTTGAACATTACTAAAATTATTAATGTAATCAATTACTATTATTTTCGTTTATACATTATTATATGGCCATAAATTAAAAGAAAAATTAATTAAATAATTTGTTTAAGATTTATTCTTTAAATGCATGTATGCAATTATAGTGTTGACCCAAAATAATATAAAATATGAATTGAATTCAAAAAATGTTAAGTTCACTTTCTCTTAAAATGAAATATTTGCAATCTCTTGTTATTACTTGCAAAAATTATAATTATCTCTTGTCCTTTGTTTAAAAATTTATGAAAAAAAGGAAAACCAAAAATACTGTACAAATGCTATGTGTATATGAATGGTTTTATTTTACGTATATATTGATATTTATGTAGAATACTGAAGTATATAACAAGGTTATGTACTACTTAAATTTTTTACACTATGTTTTATTTAAGCTCCTATTCATTGTTTTGTTTTTTCTTTCTCTCTTTCAAATTTCTTTCGATATTTAAACTTTTCATATATTTATTTTTTTAAATGCTTGTAATGAAATAAGAACGTTTTTTTACACAGTTCTAAATTTTATTAAATTGCATTTGAAATTAAACTTTTTCTTTCATTTTCTATAAATATAAATGTTATGTTATATATATACTATATTTGTCTTATAAATATGTCAGACGTTTATTATTGTTATTTATTTTATCCCAATGAGAATGCTTAAGAATATTATATTACAATACTAATATATAAAAAACAAAAAAAAAAAACAAACTGAAACAAGAAAAAAACACACAAACACATTAGAATGAAATTCTATTATGAAAAATATTGATAAATTATATATGTATATGTATATATATATATATAGAAGAGGATAATTCGATCAATACTATGATGACGATTATTTAGTTATTTATTGAATTTACGTATGCTATTTGTATATAATTAAATTGGTAAAATGGTTCTACACAAAAAATTGCAATATGGAATTGAAATATTTTATTAAATATAAAAAATGATAAATGTCTAGCACCATTACAAGCTATATAATTAGCTTTAAAATTCTTGTTTTTTTAAGATAAGTTTCAATTTTTATAAATTTATTGAGTATATTATATACGTATATACACGTATATGACGAACATATCTGCGAATTTTACGAAAAATTTTCTATAATATTGAAACTTCTTAATTCTCTGTACCAAAAATTCCGAAATTTCACTGTATGTTATTTTTAGTTAAGTATAGTACAGACATATATATATGTGTATATATCTTTAATAAAAAAATTACAAACATTCTTTATTAAAAACAAATTGAATATAAAAAATTAAATGTAATTTAATGTAATTATTTAAACATGAATAGTCAATAGGTTTTCTTATTGACTAATTATAAATTAATAGAAAATTTATTAATAATTCAATTAATAATTTAAAATTATTAACTATTATTGTAAAATGAATTTTTGAAATTTTTGTTTTTAATATATTTTCATTATTAAAAAAAAATCAGTAACCATCAGTAACCAAAAAATCATATCAGTAACCAAAAAAAAATATTTTAATATAATTTGATTTTAAATTGAGAACAGAAATATTAAATCAAAATTAACAATTATAATTTTTGGATTAAATTTGAATGTATCTCATATTTATGTATGTACACCTTCCCTATTGTAAATTCACTAAATATTTAATTTAGAATCAGATTTCTAACTTATTAAATGTATACATAGAACATGTTACACAGTTAATAGTTAATCCTGTTTATGTACTTACTATTATATTACAATAATATAGAAAAATAAAAACTTATTTTTCTATTACGTTATAATACGCAATTGTATATGGAAAAATTCTTGTTTTTATTTGAAAATATTTACAGAACAAAAAAAAAACAAAATTTTTGTATGAATGGAATCAATAAACAAAATAAAATAAGAGAAGAACAAAATATGAGAAGAAATTATGACGAAAAAAGAAATTGTTTTCGATTTAATTGATTAGTCCACATATTTTTTTTTTTTTTTTTTTTGTATTACAAAAAATTTTTATTAAAAATTTATAATTAACATGTAAAATTTTTAATTTTATTTTCAGTGTCTGTTTTTTTAAAATTTATTCACACTTAATATTTTATGATAAAAAAAAAATATCATCCATATGGTATGCAATTTTTTCTTTTACTCGTATTTCTTATATGAATTTTTATTTATCTGAAAAATATCAATTTTTAGTATCATATAGTTTTAGTTCACTCACGATTTATTAAAGTTTCACATGTTTTTTCAAAATTTCAGACATTAATTTTTTAATTTAAAATTAATTAAATTTTAAAATTTATATTTAATAATATTTTAATTTTTTTTCTCCCCTTTTAAAAATGTATATATATATATTTTTTTTCTTCTTCTATATACTCAATACATTATTTTTTTTCGTTCTTTCTAACACACTAACAGAAAGGATAAATTTTTGCAAAAAATATAAATAAAAAATAAAAAAAAAAAAAAATCAATTGAATTTTTTTTTCAAAACACCATAGAATAAACTTTTGTTTGTCAAATTAACTATCTATAGCTATTCTCCTTTTGTTTTTGGTTTTTTATTTTTCTCTTGTGGTATATAACTCAAATATAATAACTAGTTAAAATTCCGGGGTGTGTTTTTATTGCAAAAATTTGACGTTTCGAAAAATTTAATTTATTTTCTAAATTTTTTTTAACACAATTATTTATTTGCATTAATTAGCACAACTAAAATCATTAAAAATATATTTTATATTTTTTTTCATACTCTTTTTTCCAGAGAAAAAAAAAAAAGGAAAAAATTTTTATTTAATTTCCATATAAAATATTCCTGTTTCTATTTATTTTTTTTTGAACAAAAAAAATATATATTTTTTTTTTAAATTTATTTAATTTGTCTCTTTATAGAAAATTTCACGTCCGTTTCAATGGAAAGTTGAGAGGAAACTAACAAGAAAAAAAAAACAAAATATCTTTAAAATTCATAATTTTGATCTCTCACCAGAGTTTCTTTTTAAATCTCGTTGTTAAAGTTTTGTTGTTGTTTTCATTTATTTTTCCATATTATTTTACTTCTTTTTCAGTTTCCCATCCATTCAAGTACATTGTACTCATATACACATACAAATACATATACATATATGTATGCATAATCACGTATAAAAGTTAGAATTTGTTATTGTTGTGATATTTTTTTTTTTGTTTTCTTTCTCTAATATAACAGTGAAGAAAAATGATTGTGCTTTTCATTTTTATTAAATTTTTCTTTTGTGATAATTTTTATTTTTCGATTATTTACACTACAAATCTACTTTTACAGTTATTTATGCTGATTTACAAAAAATATATATAATAAAAAACTTTGATTTCAGGGATGCTCCCCTTTTTTTGTGTGTTATACGTAAATAAATCTGTGTGTTTTTGTTGACCATATTTTCTATTACATCTGTTAAAATAATTAGTTTTTTTACAGATTTATTTTTATTCATGAAATGATACACTCAATACATATGTAGATATTTAATTAATACCTACATATATTCATATGTACATATAAACATGTGTAATCGAATTTATTATGCATGATATCACAAATTCCATTTATAAATTATTTTGTATGCAAACTATTTACGAATGTGTATTGTACGAGTAATTAAGTAGTTCTTCATAAGTTGAAGCAAAAATACAAAATTTTGATATTATTAAAAAAAAAACTGTTTTTAATAACAAAACAAAATAAAATTTTAGGAAAAATATCCTTTATGTGTATAACCGTACTAAGTCGCCATCCTAAATTATATTAAAAATTTTATAATAACACATAATTACATGCTTCTCAAAATTCAAAAATAAATAGTTAAAAGAGAAACAAATAACTTTTTTCTGGATTTATATTAAAGAAAAAACTGCATTTTCGTCAACAAACTTTATTTACGCCTACCAATGCATATGTATGTATGTATGTCTACATATTATATTCCTAAATATTTTATTATAAATATAATAATTACCTGTTAAGCACTGTTAATACATTCTGAAAAGATAATGGTAACAAATAATACTAATAATGCTATTTTTAACAGTTGATGTAATATATTTTCCCTTATATAACAGTTTTAATACAAATTACAGTTAATAATAAACGATATAAGCTTTTTTTTTTAGCAAATAAATTTTAATCTTTCGTTTCGTGAAAAATTTGAATTTTTACCAATTTAGAGAAAAATTTTTAATGTAGTATATAATTTTCTGAATTCCAAAACAGCTTTCATTAAGTATATACTGAATAAATTGTATAACAGTTTGTTTATATTTTGTATAACAGTATATGCATATGTATGTAAATGTGTATATACTTATACATATCTTAAATTTACTAAATGTAGAAAGGTATAAATTTATTATTTTCAACAATCACATATTACATATATAACAGATTACATAAAACATATTATAGTTTTGTTTATGTATAAAAGTTACAATAAAAAAGATGAGCAAAACCAAAATTATAAATAAAAAGAAAAATATATTATGAAAGAGATAAATAAAACCGGTCCATTTTTATCTCAGACGTATGAGTAACATAATTTTCTGTTAAAAACTCTTTTATAATAGAAGAAGAGATTTTCCTGGAATGTTAATTTCCAATTCCAATGCTATAAAAATGAGAAAAAAATCGAATAAATTTTGAGAGCTTTTCTTTTTCTTTTGTATCCT